TTTTGTCACTGCCACCTCATCAGTAGCAACTATGACAGTAGCTAATGTGACTCCATCATCTGCGATAATTTTTCCAGAGTCTACCCAACAGATTGGACCCTCTCGTCGCTACACTCTTAAAGCCACCTGTCGCAGCCTTTCTGTAGGATTGGCATACACAGTTAATCTTTTTGACTTATCTATGCTTCTACCTCAGACGACCGCTACTCCTGGAACTCCGTCAACCTCCGCCGCTGTAGCCCACGCAGCCGCCACAGTTGCCACTCCCATCCTTCCTCTAGCTTCGCCATCCTATCCCTGGGCTCTTCCCTTTGTTGGCACATTACCGGGGCTCATTGATATTACTACGCCTGCGTCCACATTTAGCACCACTTCTACTGTCTTTGCTACCACAAATTGTTTTGGGGGGGCTATTGGTGGCGGTTTGGGAGGCATTCGATCAGGAGATTTGCCATTACAGTCGCGACAATCTTTCCAGTCTGCCTTTACGACGAGCAATAGCTTCTCTCCAGGTCTCCAAACTCAATTGTTATCCCTCGTGCTCTCTGTGCGAGAAAAAAAACAGAAAAGTATGTGTATTTCAGCTACCCTTTTTTCATATAGTTTGTATTAAGGAAATTGAAGGCATGCCCTTCGTTCCAAATTTTTAAAAGGAAAATAGGTTGTTTGTGATGGAATCAGTAAGCAGCCTATGTTTGATATCAGTATGTTTTTCATTTTTATTCAGAAGATAGCTTAAATTTTATTTCTCGAAATTCGATTTAAATAAAGGCTCTGATGCCGCTTGTCTCATAGTTTAACTTTGCGACTAGCCATTATCGGACCTCTTAATATCCTCTACGTTCTCTAATTCAGTTTTAATTTTTTAAGGTTATTTTAAATAATCACGACTCTCAATCCCTTTTATATATTAAGATCTAACTTAGATATTTGCGCATTTAGATTTATTGTGCTACTGGCCGTTACTATTTTCTCTATTTATTGCGAAATTTTATAACTTCTGATTTATTAAGTGTTGATTTTTTTCCTATTTTACGATTATTATCATATCGTAATGCAGTAATAGCTTCGTGCCTAGGTAGATTTAGTTGATCGAATTTTGACTATATACTTGATCAAATTTTACATTCACTAAGACAATACAACATAGAA